AAGTCTGCACACAGAATGTTTTTGTTTTTTTAAATGAAATGATTCCTATAACTGTACTTAATATTTTTCCACATACTTAATATTTTTCCACATATCAATTAAAAGCTTCCTTAATGCTTTTGAGCAATGTCTGCCTGTAAGTAAATGCAGAGCCAAATACTGAATGTAAACTCTGGACTTGATGGGGAGCAAAACGGAACACTTGACTTTCTGTTGAACTTGGTATGAATACGTGCTTAAGAAGATGTCCAAGATCACAGCCCCTCCTCTCTGCTCTGTTACAGTTTTTGAATGGACTTCTAAATACATAGCAGCTTCTCTACAGCAACAGTGGTACTCAGCATCTCAAAGAGAAGTTTTGATACTGTATAAATTGTCCACATTTGTTAAAACAGTACAGCTGAAGTCCTCTAAGCTGTACAAGTTGTGATTATTTTCAAAGTTAAGAGGCTTGTGCTGTGCTTCTGGTGAGATGTGTTCATAAAAGTAGGGGCAGGATGGTGGAGATGTGACGTTACAGATGGAATGAACTGGTATATTTTTAACTAAGAACAAAAAAATTTTTACAGTTATGAGGGAGTACTTTCTGGCAGTCAGGAAGGCAGGACAAACGAGTTGATTAGATTGCAAGCAGAGAGAAATGGGAACATGACTGAGGAACCTGATTTAAAGTTAGATTATGAGTTAACACTGTGAATCAGACATGCTTGAATGGGTAAAGCTGGAGGAATTTAACATGCCGATAAGCTTACATGCAGGCGAGAAATGCCTTGGGCAGTATTTGACTTTGTGGAAATGCTTTACCTCTTTAAAGGAATAGTTTGATAAATCACTTGCTTTTAAAAAGTAAGAAATTTTGCTCTAGGTGCTATCAGCTTCACTACATACCTTTGATAAAAGTAATATTTTCAGACAAAGTGTGAATATGTGCATTTGTGCAAATAAGCATGCAGTATTTCTAGGGCAGCTGTGGTATTTGTAGAGTCAAAACATTTATGCAAAGTACTCTTTATCTTGTACATCAATATCTTGATCTTAAAGTTAAGAAGAGGAGGAAGATTTAAGGACAATAATATTAATGCAAGTTCATATGCCTTGCCCTCTGTTTCTCTTGCACTTCAGTCACAACACAAGGACGAAAGTGCAAAATGTTTGTGTGAAAAATTACATATAAAGGATTTTAGAATGATTTGTCCAGAGTAATCTGTTTATAAATCGTAACAGTTATGGTCTGAAAATGTACAAATGGATTATCTTAGATTGCTCCAAAAGTAATGTCTTCTATTTATTTCATGGAAAATACAACAGATACGAAGAGCACAATAGTACTACTTGATAGAGGACATCCTCAGCTATAAAACACTATTTCAACATAAACGCCACCCTTAGCTATGCATTTTCATCAGCAATAAACAAGAGCCTGTTTGCCATGCTTGTAAAAATGTGCAGCAGCGTGAGTGACCCACTGTTTCACAGCTGCTACGATGTTGCTCCTAGGAAGATGTTGCCCACGTGGCCTGTCTTGGTGCCAAATCTGGACTATATGGTGTGTGTGATAGGATAGTCCAGCCAAGACTGGCAATGCGTTCCATCGTCTTCAAATTCGTATGGGGTCTGGCCCATACTGTGTTGCAAGAGAGAGTTTATCTACTTCTCTGGCCTGACTCTGGAAGCTCAAAATTTCAGCTTAGTAAGCGTCATGATGCGGCAGTCACCGCTGATGGTTTGTCTGTGTTCTAGGAAGTCCAGAAGAATCATCACTTTGTTATCCCAAAAGACACCGCTCATCACCGTACTTGCTGAGCACTTTGTCTTGAACTTTTCTATTTGATCTTTTGTGAACAGGTTATATTTTCACACGTATTGCATATTCACTACATTCCCAAATTCATCATCCTATCCATTCCTAATGATTGCCCAAGAGATGTAGCCTTATCTGGCTACCTTCATTGTCAGCTAGCACTGTGATGGTCCGCTGTAGGTCCATTGTTAGTCATTGGGGTGGTCGTTTACTTCCTCCCAACACTCCTTTTGTTCCAAAGATTGCTGTAGAATGCAAGGACAATCAAGAAGTCTTTGCACGCAGAGGTAGGGAAGACAGAGGGGAACATCCTGATGCTGTGTCACATTCTAGTCAATCCACTGTTCATCACCATCTGAAACACTGCTTGCATTTCGTGATCCTTGTTACTACTGCTGAAATGCACCACCTATTGTCTCACTGTGCTCACATCCACTGGTTGGTCTCCATAAACATAGAATCATAGAATCATAGAATCACCAAGGTTGGAAAAGACCTTCAAGATCACCCAGTCCAACTATTTGCCTATTACCAATAGCTCCCACTAAACCATGTCCCTCAACACAACATCCAGCCTTTCCTTGAACACCCCCAGGCTCGGTGACTCCACCACCTCCCTGGGCAGTCCATTCCAGTGCCTGACCACCCTTTCTGAAAAGTAATACTTCCTCATGTCCAGCCTGAATCTCCCCTGCCGTAGCTTGAAACCATTCCCCCTGGTCCTATCACTAATGACACGAGAGAAGAGGCCAACCCCCAGCTCACTACAACCTCCCTTCAGGAAGTTATAGAGAGCAATGAGGTCTCCCCTGAGCCTCCTCTTCTCCAGGCTGAACATTCCCAGCTCCTTCAGCCTCTCCTCATATGGCCTGTGTTCCAGACCCCTCACCAGCTTTGTTGCCCTCCTTTGAACACGTTCCAGGGCCTCAATATCTTTCTTGCAGTGAGGGGCCCAAAACTGGACACAGTACTCAAGGTGCGGCCTCACTAGTGTTGAATATAGGGGAACATATAACAAGCATTGATGAATGTCACTAAGTGCTATTTCTTTTGCAGGTGGGTATTTAGTTCCACCCCTTCGCTTCAGTGTTCCATCAGACTGCCCCTCTACTGCCATCTGTCACAGCAACAAAATGTAATGGAATATTGGTGGGAAGGTTCAACCTCTGCTGCCGCACCACCACCATCTGCCTCTGATGTTGTGGGCCAACACAACAAAATAGGAGGCATTACTTTCAGAGCAGCCCTGTTCAATAACAACAAATTCTAGGGATTTTAATTTTCAATTTGTAGTTAATTCCACTACACACCACTTGCTCAGCACTAGGTGTGCTAAGAGTATTGATCTTGATTCTGTATTTCTCTCACATGAAAATATGACTTAAGGTTTTTATTCAATGCAGTATGAACCTGCAATCTGCTGCTCTATGGTGTTTTACACTAACTGAACATTTCCATGGCACAAGTGGCTATGTGATATGCAGGAGAAAATACACTTTAAAGAGCTAGGATTTGGTTTATCACTCAATAGTTAACTCAGAAGACACCATTCTGTAAGGATTATAATAACAGTGAAGTTCTGTTGTCTAGCCAATACCTAAAAATATGTTTTTATACTTTGGATAAAACACCTTCCTTTTCAGTACACTAAGCAAAAGAAAAAGACTTTATTCTTGTTCAGTAAACATTATACTTAATATATCCAGAAATTTGTAAAAATAAGTTTGAGAGAAGTCATTCTAAAGCTGAGATCAATTACTTCTCTAAATATTTTGATGCATACCCACAGCAAGATTAGAAAATATGCTATGTGTGAGTTACCAAGGAAATTCTTGTTTTTTGAGGTTTTTTTTGAGGTTCCTCTTCTGCTTTGGATGTTCTGGCTGACATTGTATGGTAGGTTGACCTGCCTTGATAGACTGCCATACCAACCATTTCAGTCCTTTGTCTCAGTCACTGTCTTCACTGAGCTCAGTCACTTCTCTTCACTGAGACTCCTTCAGTTGTTTGTCCATTTTTCTCGGGCTAGTAGGAATCAAAATTGCCTTCACTAAAGCTTAAGAGAATTTTGGTTTTCTGTGGAGTTGTTTGATTGGCATAAGTCCATTCACACCATTCTCCATTCCTGACAAGAGCTAGAAGCAGACAACAATGTTTTGACGTTATTTTCCAATAAATTGAAAGGGAAGGAGATAAATAGATGCTCCTGACGCATCTGTATAGGTTTCCTGGAAAAATGAAAGAGCACCATAGGGTAGAGTATTGGTACTCCACTTAACTGGGGAACCTTGAAGCAGCTTTTACACACTGGAGTAGTTTGCAGTTGGACTCGGGTAGACCGTGGTGTTTTATTGTGGGAATACTTCATGTAAAGACACTGCTAGGTATTGCTCATCTATGCCTTTCTTTGGCAACCAGTCCTTTCACATAAGATGACCCAAAGGATGAAATTGCGTGTGTTAAGTTCCCTGAATATTTGTCTTAACAGGACAAATAGAAGCTCTTTAGGTAGAACTGTCTATTGAAGTACCAAATAATGTTCTGCTACTTGCTGGCTTTCATTTTGAAGACATTGTTGGGAGTACTCTAGAAAGATGTTAGACACTTTGGAATGCAGGAACCTGAAGGCAAGAAAAATGCAGTAGAATGCTTATGAGATCATTGAGATAGCATTTTTATCAACTATTTTGATTGAAGTGAAGCAAGTACAGAAGGCTGAAGTGTTTCTAAAACAAACGTCAAATTTTATATGTGGAGAAGTTGAATTTTTTGTAAAAAGGAAATCTTCAGTACTGTTGTTTGTACGTACGCTGGCATATTTTCTTACATACTTAGTTCACAAGAGCGTAGTGACCAGTATTCATTTTGGACAGGTCCAATTTCTTACTAGTGATTGAAATTATTGTGCTGATAAATCTTTGGGACAAGGCACATGTGATTTAGGATGAATTAACTGTTGTGTTCAACAATTCATTTCCCAGCTATGTCTCCGCCTCACACCTTCCTATTGGAGGTTCTGCTCTCCTGACCACCCTCAATCCGTTCTCTCCTTCCAGCCACTGCTATCTTCATCCTCCTTTACCTTTTGAGGAACCACAAACTCTTTACTGATACCCATTTTCACCTGCCAACTTCTGCGCTCTGATAGTTTGCTGCTGAGCATGATTAACACCCTTGGTAGGGGGAGATAGGGGAAGTATGGTAGTACTACCAGACTAAGTCAGCAAGAAAACAGAGTGGGATATGCCCACCAGAGATCAGGCATGTTATGTAAGGCAGGCTACGCTTATATTGTAATAGTACTTGTCCTTTTTGGCACAGCACAGATTTAAAATAGCAGCCCTTCTCTGTCCTTTCTTCTCAAGCTATTAATAAAAGCGTTAATGAGATACTGGCAACAGCCAGACTCCTTCATCAGCTTTTCTGAGCTCCCATTTTCAAATGCTGATTGAATTGCTTGGTTGTGGCTTTTTTTTCTCAAGTGTGTTGTGTGTTTTTCTGTTGTGGTTTTGTTTTGCTTGTTTGGTGGTTGTTTATTTTAATTATTTCTCTTACGTTCCATGTGGCTGACAGTCAGCTCACCTTGACTTGTTTCTGTTTTCAGGTGGGAGCGATGAGGGTATCAGTACCAGCTGTGGCAGTGTGGGGGAGAATTGCTCCCTCTCACAGCATCACTGCCATTATGATTACAGATGACCAGCAGACTATTGTTACAGGAAGTCAAGAGGGGCAAATATGTCTCTGGGATCTTTCATCAGAATTAAAGGTTTGTTTCTACCAAATTTATGAACTGAGGTTTTACCTTTTACAGTGGAATTCCCTAGGCTCTTGCTTTTAAATTAGTTATTAAAGATAAGTTTCCTATAATAAGCCATACATTGTGAAGCAAAGTTGTAGATGTTAAAGCACCTGTACAAGTGTAACCAATAATTTACAGACACCAGAAAAATTTTCATAGATGATTGCTGACTTATGGGTTATTTTGAGATTATGTGCTGTAATTGTTGTAAGTGAACATACAACTACTGCAGTTCTTACACTGTGAAATCTTTTTTCTTTAATACAGTGGTTGAGTATGGCCTGTCATTTCAAGATGAAATATTGTAATTATGATGTAATTAAACTGCAAAGCTACTGACAAGTTACTACTATTCTATTTCATGTCCATCTCTCTGAAAATAGAATGAAATCAAAGCAATTCCAAAATTTTATTCTGTGTTCTTAGTGATGGTTCTGTTCTTGGATTTTGCTGTGCCATTTCAGTTTGAACATGACACTTTAGTTTATGCTTTTATGCTGCTACTTTTTTCCTATTAAGATGATCTTTGCATGAGATGAAGCTCATCGTAGTCAGAGGTGTTACTTAAACGCACAGTATTAAATATATGCTTACGTGCTTTGTTATATCAATTCCCTGCTTCACTTGCCATTTCTCCTTTTGCAGCATAGTGTAGGCCAGAGAGGTTCTGTACTTTGCCTGCTGTATAACATTTGACACTCCAGAAATTTTTCAGGAGAGGTTTCCAGACTACAGTGGTTAAAGACTATAATTCCTATAGGCAGCATGCAAACTTGCATAATCTGTACTCATCTCTGTATATTTCAGAAACATAGCTGAAGAACATAAGAATATAAAGCAGATTGTCAATTACTGGTAATGTCTACAAGTAGGATTTACTAGCTTTTGATCTTCGTAGTTTATAAAGTGCTCTGTTTAAGTTAAACCGTTGTATTATTCTCCTAGATTTCATCTAAAGAAATTCTCTTTGGCCATACTGCTTCTGTAACTTGTTTGGCAAAGGCAAGAGAGTTTGAGAAACAGCCATATGTAGTGAGTGCTACTGAAAATGGGTAGGTAACTGAATACTCAATTTATTTTTCAAATCATGAAATGTAAATCAAACATAGATCAAATTCTGCATTTGGCAGAAAGTTTTTAAACCACTTTCTTGATTATAGAAAAAGAATAGCAATTATGATAATGACTATTTCTTGTATACAATAGGCTAACCAAGAATTCATCTCTTAAGCAATAGAAGAGCTTGGCAAATTCAGGTAACCAGTTAACACTCAGGAGAATGAGTTATTCAAGAGTCAGGCCCCATTCAGACGGAGGATAACAGACGGTGGAGGGAGGGATTGGGAGGTTCAGAATTTTAATATCATGATGACTTTTTTCTTCCTGAGTTTGATCTCAAGAATTGAATCAGGAAGGAAGCTCATGTACTTGATGCAGGTTGTGCTTGCTCAGTGACCACATCTGGAAGCACAGAAAAAAACAACTCTTGAATACAAGGTGTTAATGTTCTTTGTCTTTACTTAAATTGCATCAGCTGTCTTGGTATATGACCCTTGAGTTTCCTGATCTTTTCTTGTATGTTTGTTGTGATTTGGCACTCTACTTAAATCAAACTAATTTCTGCAGTACTGCCAGAGTAACATATGAGAGTTTTTATTTCTTGGTTATTTTATAATCCTTTGTGCTGGAATCTGAAGCCTATCTGTTGAAGATTTCAGCCTTTGAAAGCAGTTAGAGCTAGTTTTTTACTTCCTTAATGACTTTTCTTAAAAGACTTTGTCTTGAAGCTTGATGATATTCCTCATTCAACTTAGGTTCACCTTTTTCACTTAACAAGGCAGCTCTGTTAAAACCTCTTCCCATGATGAACACTTGTTGCCCTCTCCAGGCTACAATTTTTGTTGCCTTGAGGGTTCTACTTTCTCACTGAGAACATTGTTTATCCTTTCCATCCAGCTACTAGGATCTCTAACTCTCTCAAACTTCAGGTTGCAAGGAGAGGCTAACTGAGCAATGTGATTCGGGCGCTTTAATCAAACTATTTACCTCTGTCTGCCCAGTGGGACAATCTAAGCTTTTAGGATTCACCAGAAAACAAAGGTGGGAGAACTACAGAACCAGTTTTTGATTGCTCACTGATAATTCTGTTCAAGAGTTCAGAAGTGAACCAATCTTTCATCTTAATTCTGAAGCTCTCTCAGTGCAATATCATTTCCAGATCATATTGGAAGAAAAGGTACTATTTCTAAAAAAGCTGTGATAAAATGTGTTAAGAAACAAATGAGGTTTTTGCAATAGATGTGATACATACATTCATATTCTGAACGTTCTGTCATATAGGGCTTGCTTGGAATGAATATTGCTAGGTTTAAACAGTTTTCAATCTGCTTTAAATACTTACTTTGCAAACTAGAGCTATTGCTTGCTTAAATTCTATACTGAGTAAATGCAGAACATTTATTACTTATCCCTGGAAGGTTACAATATGAAGTTGAGAAGTACCAATAGGAAACCTCCTCTTTAGGAGATATGAAATTGAACTATTTTCTGGCTTGTGAGTCCTTCAATTCCCTGCTATTCATAAATTTTCACTCGTCCTGTGTCTGCCTGTGGAATGTGCTGTAGGACAGTATTATCAATGTGCTGCACCCCTTCTTCCTTTTTTATATGCAAAGTAAATTAAGTGCAGCGTACAGATGCTGAAGCTGTTTTCTGTTCTAATTTGTGTGTGCTTGTATGTATTATAGCAATTTCACTGAAGTGGTAAAATTCCATGTATTCTGATATAAACAAGAAGTAATTCACTGCCTTGAAATGATTACTGAAGACTAAAAGTTATTGTTTTTGCTCTATGAAATCTGACATAGTACGTATATAGATTGTACTCCTGCAAAAGTGAAAAAAAAAATTAAGTTAATGAGTAGATTAAAATACAGGTTACTAAGTATTTTTGATATATTAAAATATTTCCCCCTAATGTTTAAAACTCCTTGTATTAAAAATGCCTTTGAATGTAGTCTGGGAAATTGTGGATATAATTAAAATTTGAAGCAGAGATTATTATTTAATTGCTGAGCTATGACTACAAGCCAGGTAAAAATTCATTTATAACATTTAAATAGTTGTTTTTTTCTGTTGTACTCTAGTTCAGTAGCATGTTGACCAATGTTTCAGTGAGGAGGAAAGCTAGCTGATGAGACTTTCTAAAACAGCTCCTACATGTTATGCAGTAGAACTGACATTAGGGTTGCCGAGAGACTTCGGCAGCAGCCTCATGGTGGCACTGTTTCTTCTTCACTGAGAGCGTCAGTTCCTCCCTGGAGCTGAAGCCTGCAGCAGATGACAGCATTATGTGTTTCAAAACGTGTGGTTTAAGTTCAGTTGAATGAATCATTTTCAGGAGGATGTCGTTCCAACGAATGATAGTTATAGTGACGCTTTGACAAGCTATAATGGCAGTATACCTACAATTTGTTGTAGACCAGAGTTGGCCTTAAAGTCAGGTTTGCTGCGAGGTAGCAGGGTGTAATTACCAAAACAGAAAGCAACAGATACTGTATGTCATGCCCTGCTAATGACTGCAACGTTTTCATACCCAGTAATCTGTAACAAAAAGCCACATAAATGACCAGACTGCACTTAAGTACAGCACTAAAGAAAAACTTGCTGGCACAAAATTATTCCATCCAATTGAGTAGAAATGACAGAGAATAATATGAAGTTATCTTTGGCAGGGAGATGTGTGTTTGGAATGTCACTAGTGGACTGTGCATTGAGAAAACAAAGCTTCCTTATAGGCATACAGCAATCTATGTAAGTATAGAAACTTCTCATGAAATATCTCCCTTCATTACAAGAGGAGTTTTTCCTCTATTAATTTTATTTGTTTTTTTAATGCAGTTCTAAACATAGTTCATAGAAAATCGTTGCAATACTAGTTGTATGTTATTTTTCCTTTTAGATTCCTTCTGAGAAAATAAAAAATTTAAAAAATACCTTAATGATTAACCTCCAAGACTGCTCTGCCTCACTACCAAAAATGCTCTTTCACTCATTGCACAAATCAGGGGGTAGATTACTGTTGTGCTTGTTCTCACTGGCCAAACTGCTTTAAATCTTCAAATCATTTCAAGCATCTGCCTTGACTGGATAAGGTATATACCAAATATATACTGGAACTGGAATATGAGGGTGTTTAAAATGTGATTTAGAGCCTAACACATGGGTTTGATTCAGAGATGCTTTTATTTGTGGAAATACCGGCAAAAGAGCTCAGAACTCATATGTTAATTAAAATGATGATCTTCAGTGAAGAATTCTACCATGGAATTAAATTAAATTAAATTGATGGCAATCTGAGACTTCACTGAGTTCTCATGTGACTCTTAAACTATGGCCGAATCACAAAATAGAAACTATAGATGAATGGCTTCTTAACAATCTATTGTATTCATACGTGTACAAAAACAGTCAGCTGTTTTTCTACTTAGTATTTCTGTATGCGTGATAGAAAACATGGTTTTAGTGTTTAAGTACACATAATATTAATGCTCAATTATGTATTTGAAGTATGGTGCGATCTGTGTTGTGTATTGCTTTATTAAATTTTAATAGTTTTGGAGATCTTTCACAAAGAAGCAGGCAGATGTGACCTGGCTGATTATCTGCTGATTTGTGTGTTTCTGTGAAGAACAGAGGCAAAAGCTTAGTTCTTCTCCTTCAAGTAGGCAAATACTTTCAGAATAGTGTTACTTTTCTATTAAAAGTAGTGCAATTGTGACTAGATAATGACTTTTTTGGTCTATGATTTTAGCACAGTAAGATGGCAAAAGGACAATGTGAGCACCTAAGAACAAAACTTCCCTAAGAAAGAAAATTCTGTAGCTAGGACAAGAAACAATTCTTAAAATACAGTCTTCAAGTACTAGTAATTGTTTTGTTCTTTGGTATTGTTTGGCTGTGGGGTTTTTTTTGAGTGTTTTTATGCTTTTTTCTCTTTTTTGTTCTCCTGTGGCAAGTTCAAAAAGTACTTCACTTCATACAGAATGTTGTCTGGGAGTTGTAGTGCGTACTGTTTTAGCATCATTATTTAAAAACATTTTGGTTGCCATTATCTGGCTTAGTATGTTCCTTTTGTTCAGCATCAATAGTTCTAATATAAATGGCAGATGTCAAGCAGTTCAAACAATACTTCCAATTTGCAATGAAACTTAACACCAAGGTCAACTGCTAACCATTTGTGGGATCTTAAGAGAAGTGGGATCTTCTCATTAGAGGACTGATTGATTATATACACTGAGGACTATCCAATTATATATTTGAGTAACAGTTACAAATTCTTCCTGTTTCTGAGCATTTCTCCATCTGATTGTTCATTTCTGTGTACTTATCCTATTCCCAGTTATTTATGGAACCTTTATTTTCAGACTTGAATTAGTTAACTGATACTTTGAGAACTATCTAACCCAAACTGGAAATATAGAAAATATCCTTGAACATATAAAACACCTGGAAAAAAGATAGTCACTCTGCTCCCTGTTATCCAGCCCTTTGCTCTGTGTTCTTCCTTTCTTTATTTGATTTTTGAGAAATAATGGGTTTCTTGAACAGGAGGGCAATTAGTATTATACTGAAAATATCTTGTGGAGTAGAAATTCTTCCTGGAAAAGAATTGGAAATTCAATATGATTCCTCTGCATTTTTACCCAACTTATGCCCAGTCTTTGTCCTTCTTGATAAATGCAGTTTTATCAGATGTTTGGAGGAGATGAGCTCTCAGAAATCACTACCAAACTGTTTAGCAGTTTACAATGAAAATCAACATCTTTAGTGACTTCAGAAATCTTAGTTGCTAGACAGGGCAGATAGCAATTTCAGTATTAAGTCCCCTTTTTCTGAAATTAAACATCTATTAAGTTGTTATAAATGTATGTGGAACACTTGCAATTCTACCAAAGTTTTCTACTGTTTCATGTGTGTAATTCACTATATATTTTTAGTAATTCAGAGTGTTGAGTATGTTTCTGTGATATGCTTAATGTGAATGATGTGCATGCACATTTCCTGAGCTCGTTATGCTGACTCTCTTCTCTCCACTTGTACAGTATTACCATTGCTCATTCCGAATGATAGGTGAAGGCTGGCTTCTTTGTTTTGGAGAATATCAAGATGTTCTTATTATTGATGCTAAGACTTTGGATGTTCTGCACACTTTGTCTTCTCAGTCTTCTGATTGGATAAATTGTATGTGTATTGTTCGCTCCGCAAGAATTCAAGGTATGCAGCATAGATATTAGTACAGACCAATGAATTGAATGAAGAATTTCTGTATAACTTGTGGGATCTTACTAGAATAACAAATATTCAGTTGTGTTGTACAATGCACTTATACGTAAGACATTGTTTCATTGTTAGAACTTAAGGTGTCTATAATACCCTTGGTCATGTTTCATTCTTTGTTTCATAAAGAGAAAAACAAAGGACCTCTACGACTGTAAGCAGCTTGTTGTTTGGAGATGAGTACAAATTAATTTGGTAATATCAGGAAAATCATGGAACAGAACTGCTATTTTATCTTTGTTTGGAATATAGGTGATTGGACAAAATAATTATTCACTGTTTGCTTGCATGCTTTGTATTTCTAAGTGTGAATGAGCTGTTTCATATTTTGTTCAAACAGTGCCCTGTAGAATCCATCAGATTGAGTGCTATGTAGCACACCAGTGTCTATGCCAAGGTTTTTTTTTGTTTTTTTTTTTTTTTTGTTTTTTTTTAGGTGTGGTTTGGACTCTGTTTCAAACTGATTATCTTTTGTTATCTTTTCACAGAAGACTCACTGGTTGCCGTGTCTGTAACTGGAGTTCTTAAAGCATGGGACCTATCTTCATCTTTGACCAGCATACAGGTCAGTTTGTGAAATGACAACTGCAACAATAACATAAATGTAAAGATAACATCAAGTGAAGGTGCACTGACGCAGAATATGAATGAGTGAAGATCTTATGACTATGATTTAATCCAGATTGATTAATTTTGTCTGTTTTTGAAGGTGCTAGACTCTAAGTTTCTACAAAATCCTGAAAACTCATCCTCCTACTGCTACTTAGAATTAATTGGGCTATTGGCAAGTTTTTGCCATGGCATTGCAGTGTTCATATCTTTCCTTAGGCTATGAGCTCTTAAAAACCCACGCTTTGTACTCCGTCTTCATCTTTGTTACTTTTCTCAAAATGATTCTTTAGATTATATTTTTTAATATTTTTCACAGTACTTTCTTCACTTAGAAAATACTCTTGCTGTGTCAAGTGCTCAATTTGCCCATCTTCAGACTGCCTGTTTCTGTTGAATTTTGTCAGTATTCTCAGCAGCAGTCATTTGACTTGCACAGATGCTAAAAGTCAAAAATGGTGTTCTGGGTTGGAGTCAAACTCTGAGGACTAGTTTCGCAAGGAGATGAGAGCATTATAGCTAAGTACTAGGGATTGTCATCAAAGTGGCAAAAAGTCATCAATCTTCTCTTGGGCATCCATAATACATTACTGCCTTATTTGACAAACTGCAGAGCATGCCACTGCACAACTTGTTAATTGATAGGATCAGGCCCCTCAGGACAGTCTGTCAAGTTTGATACTGTACAAGTGTTCACATGATATGTTTTTGACTGTTCCGCAATGTTTTGGGTCTTCCTTCTAACATTCCCAGGGGAAAAAAATACTGTTACACTGTAGAAATTCTGGGGACTGTACAAACTGATCAGCACATATCACCATACCATGTGCTTCCTTTATTTTACTGCCTGGGACTTTCTTTGTAAGAGAGGAGAGCGGAGTTGGTAAAAATCAAGTTATTGCAGATGCTTAGAGAACAGAATTTTAACAAATATTGTTGGATTGAATTAATATCAATATGAGGTGAAATGAAAGAATGGTTTGCCCTCTTACTGTGCAATGATTCTGTAACCTGCATACCCCTTTTCAGGGAAGTTACGGTGCCAGCAGTTATCTTTCAAAGCAGAAAATGTAATTTTTCAATCATTTAATCAATAATTAAAGTAACTCCAGTATAATCATAGATGAAGATCTGAGCCATGCAGAATGTAATTTATTTATACAGTGCTTGTGAACTCTGTCTTCCAGTCTTGTAATTAGGAAATATATGTTGTTTTACGTGATTTTTCAATAGTTTCTTTCTATTCTAAAAGTGAAAGTTAAGCTGTCTGGAATAAATCACAGCTCTTTTTTTTCCTTCTCTGCTCAAAGGAGAGGCAAAATGTGTGTGAAAAGGAGTCCAAGTCTCTGGACTGTATGAACTGCCGAGCAATACGGTTTTGCACTTACACAGAAAGGCTCCTTCTGGTTGTGTCTTCCATATGCTGGCAGGTATGCTGTTGAGCATTATATTTGTTTGATTGTTAAGAACCTTGAAAAGCTGATGTAATCAATTCTGACATGTAAATGCTTCCCTTAAAATTAGTGCTTGCTAATTGTCAGATGTGTGCTCTCATCCCTTCAGTTATCTTAACTGTTTTACTGAGGTTTTCATTTTAAGTATTCCTGCTTTAAAAGGTTGATATTAAATCGGCTCTGTAGGAAGGGGATTATTTTCAGTATCCCCCAGTTTTAGAGCATTGGGTGCATTACAGCACACTCTGTGGTACATTAAAGATCAAACTGGTGTTGTGACATTTTTCTGAAGGTGATTTTGGAGTATTAATGTCTGATTCAGGTGCCTCTGGAGGTGTGGAAAGCTGCAGTTCATAGAGCTGAGTCAGCTTTGTCTAACGCTTTCGTAGGGTATTCTTGAGTTTCCTCTTGGGCTATTTTGGAAAAAAAAAAAGCTACATAAAAGCACTGATAATTTTCTTGTACAGAATGGGCAGGTTTTGCATGGAAAAATAGAGTAATATCCTGTTTATAAACTTGTGATGCTTTTCACAAAATGCATGTTTCTTATAGTGTTTGTGTACTTATCTATATGGCTGCTTCAAACAGCAGATTATACGCAAGTGGCTTATTTTAAACTTCTGTTTAAATAAATATATACCTCTCAAGGAAAAGATGATGATGATATTACTGCTTAAATAGAAGGTTATGCAGCACGTGCCGTGAGAGAGACTCACATGTATCCTTAGTGACTCAACTCACTTCTATAGTTATGAAAACATTGAACAAATAATCTAAAAGTCCTGTGCTCCATATAAATCATAATAATTCTCATTCTGAAAGTTTTCCCCATGCCATTGGAGTAAGTTGTAGAATGTGGCTAAGAAAACTCTTTTCAAGACTACTAGGAACATAGACAAAGACCATATCTTGCGTTGCCATGTGTTTGTTTAAGACGGGGAGGCCAAAGGTAATAAGCTACTATTTTATTTCTAGTCTTCAAAACAGAAAAGCTACAAGAACTCTCCCAAGTAAATCTCCTCACTTTCAATTAATTTGTGGAAAAAAAAAAATTGTTGTTCAACAAACAAAGAAAAATCTGTTCTCCTAAAATCTGCCGAGATCAGCAGATTATTGGTTAAAGAATACATAAAGAATAAGAACAGAAGCATTAACTGCATGTATCAATCTTCAATGTTATGTACTAAATTCATTGCTTCTACCCAACAGTCCAGTAAACATTAATAATGAACGCAAAGCAAAACAAACTAAACTCTATCTAAAATCCTCTAACATAACAGAAGCCCTCAATGTTTTTTGCTTTTTTGTTTTTTCAGTTTATCTTTCTGTTGTATGGTTTGATTCTGACATTATGCTAGTGTAAAGTTATAAATATTGCTTTGGCTTTAAAAGAGGTAGTCGAACTACAGAGTCAAGATAATGTTCTTTTTATTGATCCTTTGCCTAAAACTAGCTTGAATGAATCTGATTGTGTCAATATTGTTTGTTTGTGTTTCACTCTTTTTTGGGACTTAGGTCTATGATTACTGTGATTTCTCTTTGCTGTGTACTGAGTTCTGTAAGAGTGGTCAGTGCTTTGCTGGTGGAGAAGTACTAGCAGCTTACAGGCTTATCATCTGGACAGAAGATGGTTACAGTTACATCTACCAGCTGCTAAACAGGTGGGCTCAAATGGGAAATTCACACAAAAAGTTCAGGTACAGGATGAACTTTGGGAGGTTTATTATGGAAAATCTCTGCATGTTGCAAGTGATCAAAAACCAGAACAAAAACACTTTGGCACTCAAAGATTTGCCCTGAATTTGACAGCTCTCAGTCTTTGTTTGACACAGCAGGGGACACAGGAATAAGATTAGCCATGTAGAACTTGGGCAGCTGGCGCTGTGATTTCACAAAGTCGCTTGTAATTGCTTGGTAACTTTTAATTTAACTTGCGGATCTTAGATGTTGCTGTTCTCCTTCCTTTAAAAAAAGAAAAAAGAAAAAAAGGCTTTCTAAATCTTTTCTTTCTGAATTATGCAGTGGACTTTCCAAAAGCACATATCCTGCAGATGCGAAGGTGCTGAAAGAAACTGTTTATCCTCATTTACTCTGCTTTACTGATGTGAAGGAAAATAAGGTAAATTCATAAAGATTTACAGTGAGATTCAAAAGCCGCTTCAATGTATGTTTGTAATTTCCAAAATTGCAACAAAGATTTAAGTGCTGTAAGTGTGGGTTTTTGACTTAAACTGCAAGGAAGACGTTTCTTCATATGAATGTGTTTACTTATAAAGTTGGAGATGTTCGCAGTGTTGTCTTTAATTCTGGCTTATTTAATTTTTTCTCAGAAATCCTGCATTTTCAGCTACAGGTGTTTCCTGCTTTTTAATAAAGAAGCAGAGGTTTTCTTTAAGTTAAAAGCACTCTAAAATAGCTTTAGAACCTTTTACTCTCACATCTGCTTTAAAAAAAAAAAAGCAAGCAAAGAAAACCAGGTTATTTAATTCCTGTTGTAGTAAGAAATGCATACATGTTTCAGTGTATGCCTGTCCTGACTTGAACGGTTTTGAGTCAGTGACATCTTATACAGATTACTGTTATATCAAGCCTTCGTAGTCATCATCATACATTTAACTCTTACAGTGTGGGGAAACTGACAGAACTTACAGTGAATGAAGTTAAACAGGTTTTTAAGCAGTTTATGTAGATCTCAAATAGATACCTATTTTTCACTTGTTCCTGGCCAGAGACACTCTCAAATATGTAGGCTTTTTCTAGTGAGCTTTTGTTTTTGTTGGCAGCCAGAGACTCTAAGAAACTGTTTTTGTTGCGTGCAGAAGTGGGATAACCGCTGAAGGATGCCAAAAGGTCAGATACCTTTCGGTAAAAAGAAATAGCCAAAATACATGGTTCAGTAATGCTAGGGTGTTACAGAAGGAAGCTCATATTTTTCCTTCCCCCAAATATGTGCATTTTTTAATAATGTCTGCTGCCATTTTCTAATATTTTTCCTCAAATATTTACCACTTAAATAATTTTTATAGTGGATTTGTTTTACAGGACACAGCTCCTTTGGTGACAGTCTGTTTTCATCTCTTTAGATTGTAACCTGAGTTACATAACGAGTTGCTTATTGTGAAATTTACTCCCAAACTGCGATGTTGTATATAAAACGCATCCTGCTTATGGGGATGTTATTAAAATGTCTTCAAGGAGCATACAGCCTAGCTGTGTTGACACTATTAATTAAAGCTTCTCTTTAGAGGAAAACTGTGCTGATGACTGTTCAATCCATGCTACTCAGCATGCATTTTTTTCTGGCTTGTTTTTTGGCAAGTCTCTTTGTGTCTGAAATGCAGCATCTGTGCTCCTGCATGCATCTTTCAGTTCAATTTCAGCCAGAAGGAGTCTTGATGTGGTACTCCAGGATGACTTCAAAACACAAAAAAGCAGCACTAATTTCCAAAGTACACTCCTGCTCTAAGTTAAAATGTCTCACAGGAAATACACCTGGAGTTTCCTATTTTCTTATTTTCTGGAAGTGTGTATTGTTTCGTTTTTGATATTTCCAATGTCTTCTGATCTCAAACTTGGCATTTGAAATTAATTATTGCATTATTTTATCACCTCTTCCACATCAGGAGTTCGACTTACTGTTATTTTTGGCAGAGTTTCCCTTTTGTCATGGGCTTTATGAATGAAAGAAAGGAGCCTTTCTATAAGATTCTTTTTTCCGGTGAAGCTTCAGGAAGAATCACTTTGTGGCATGTTCCTGATGTTCCTGCATCTACATTTGATGGTTCACCAAAAGGTTTGGTAACTCTGTGCTCTCAGTGCAAACTCTTTAGTTATGTCTGCAAATCATGAAAACTTGTGAAAATTCTTAAAGGTAAAAATTGCTGTTTATCCATCCGCTGTGTGGTGATTCTCTGTAGGCAGCAGCAACACACGGACAGGGAGTGTCCAGTAACTGACACTTCTGTTTCATGTGGTCGGATGAATATTCTATTTCTTTTCAATCTGCTCATAAGCACATATTTACCAAATGTCATGGAAATTTGCTTATTTGATCCTGCTTACGGTGTTCATAGACAGGTATATTTAAAGTATTTTAGTGAGATGATGTAACATGTTGGAGTGACAACCATTAACTCCAACCTAAAAGTGCAGGAGGGATAAGTTTAGAAGTGGTTGCGAGATGAAAAATACATTTTGGTTTTCTTTTGAATTTAAACAAATAATGTTCCTGCCTTTTTCTCCCCACACTCTAGAAATCCCAATTTCAACAACATGGACTCTTCAAGATAATTTCAATAAAGCCCATTCAGTGTCAGAGGGCATTATAGATCATCTCTGTGAGTCTAAAGATGGAATTGAAAATGCAGTTGTGACTTCCTCTGTGTACATACCCGGTCTGGATAAGCTTGTGTGTGGATGTGAAAATGGGGAAATTTTCATAACGCTAGGTCTAGAAACTGCAAGAGCAAGATTTCTAGGAAATGCATCTTTGAAAGGTAAGTATTAACAATTTTGCTTAACTATCTGAATGATGCATGGAAGACTTCATGTTTCTAACATTCCCTTCAGTCATCCCTTTAAACATTCGATGAAAGTGGAGGTGAGGCTCAGGATCTGAATGAGGAAAATAGATTATGATAGTCTTTGCAGCCTCCCTGTAGGTGACTTATCAAATCACTACCCGACGACTTGGTACTGCTAGTCCTATGATGGATGTGGGGATTGGAGTCAACTGGAATTAGAGTTGTGGGATATCATAGAGGCAGCAGTCATCTTTGTCATTTTCCCTCTGAAAGATAATTCCACTTCAGAAATAAAAAAAAAAGATGCTTTCTGGTGGATGAAGGTCTGAATGTACACCTTTGCTCTCCTTTTTTAGAGAGAATGTGTCCAAGATTGTTTAATTCATATAGGAAGTTACCTTTCTTAAAACTCTATAGATAAAAATTTAGCTGTAATTAGTCTTCTGAACCTCTTGATTGTTTTATGAAATGTATTGTCAAATATGGAACTTCTACTTTTAAAGAAGATAAATAACTTAATTGTTGTTTCAGGTAATCTACCTCATAAAGTTTTGAATGGTCATAGTAGCAGAGTGACATGTTTACTTTATCCACATGGTAATTCAGTAAGGTTTGATCCCAGCTGGCTGTTATCAGGGGGCCAGGATTCTACTGTGATCTGCTGGGATATATTTACTGGAAAAATCTTGCACCGATTTAGTCTGCAATCTGGTCCAGTGACAGAGCTATTGAGATCTCCAGACAACTGCAAAGTAAGTATACTTATAATAATAAATAATTTATAATAAATACACGTGCTTCTGCCCTGCGGCACTTGATCTTTGATTTGCAGTTGTTACTCACTTAATTGTTTTGTTTGAAAGCTGCTTTTAACTTCAGGATGTTGATTTTGTTAATTTATAATTTCAGTGGTACAGAAAAATGCTAAAATGGTGATGGATTTAATTCTTCTTAACAGTCTATTCATCCTTTTTCACATCATGATTGTAAAATTGTATTTCAATCTGACAAATCTTTGTAAATGGTATGTATTTAAATACTTCACAAAGGGCTAGTTCAAGGTCTTAATGCTTGTAAGGCTCTTAAGCAATTTTTCTGGCATCTAGATAAACTGTATTTACCTACTTGGATGATGATCCAGTTCATTTATGGGGCTGATATTTTCCATCAGGTAAATTCCTTCATATCACCAAAAATTACTATGGGAACGACAGAATCACAGGGGTTAGAAGGGACCTCAAGAAACCATCAAGTCCAAATCCCTTGCTAAGGCAGGTACCTTACCATAGTACTCGCAGGTGGGCATCCAGACAAGTCTTGAATAGCTCCATACGAGGTAGACTCTACAGCCTCTCTGGGCGACACCTTTTAGTGCTCTGTCACCCTGAACGTAAAGATGTTCTTCTGCATGGTAGTACAGAACTTCCCATGTTCAACTTTGACTGCTTTTACAGGCCAAGTACTGGTGTTTAAACTATTCTTACATTTGAAAAATCAAAAGAGGATCTAGGGATCTGTTTTACAGCTTGCCTGCTAAAAATGACTTGGAGATGTAGTCTGAAATTAAGCATTTTCCAATATTAGTATGTTCTGGGAAATAAATGACTAAATAACTTCCAGGCTTATGACAATTATATCATGACTTTTGATGCAGTATTGATAACAAAACTCTTCTGTTTTGCAGTTGCAGTATCATAGTGTAGTGTGCTGTGTGTGTAGTGATCACTCAGTAGCAGTTCTACACCTTCAGAAGAAAGTTTGTCTCTTACATGCCAGAAAGCATCTGTTTCCTGTGAAGAAGATAAAATTTGACCCCATTGGAAATCTGCTAATTGTTGGGTGTGAAGATGATTCTGTTTATGTTTGGGAAATTGAAACAGGTAATATCAGGTTATTTGTTCACTTGAAGTTTTGTCTGTGAAGCTTATGAACATCTTAGATTAATTAGGGAGGTTAAAATTTCTATATTGTTCAAGGTATGTCACTAATATAATAGCTTATCTATAACTCGTTATATAGAAATTTAAGTCAGATTCTGATGACTGAATGATTAGCTGGTATTGCAGTGAACTGAACTCAGCAGTCATTCATAAATGCAAGCATTTTTAATAGAGATTATGGTGTTTGAAGATGCTAACAGCCTCTAACTGTTCCATCTAAATTTTTTTCCTCTTCTAAAATTGATGGTGAAAACAATATGTAATTTAGGTGGGAGAAATTGTGAAGTAGAATGTTTTCCTTGTTTAATACGCAACTAAGAAGGGCGCTTCAAAATCCTGTGAATAAGCTGTATATAAAAACTTGAGTCTGAGATGTCCCTAAAGGTCATTTAAACTTCATTGAAGATTCAGTTGCATTTAAAACTGTAGTAGAGCTTGGCAGATGTGACAAAGAACCATGGAACTTTTATTGTTTCCTTATTAATCTGTCCTTATCATTGCTATCATTTTAACTTGTTCTGCATCAGTTATTCTGTATCACATTTCTATCCTATACAATGACTAAAGCAGCCCAAGAAGTTAAAATGCTTCAAGGGAGATGATTATATGCCAGTTGCAATTTTATTCCAGTGTGATTAGGTAATATCATACAAAAGTGCAGTGAATAATTTGTAAATCAGTGGGACTTAGTACCATAGCATTGTACTGGTACCAAGAATGCAAAAAGCAGTATGCATTGAATTCTCTCTCCTTTAGCCATGAAAATGATGCTCATCTGACAGGAAGTAAAATGGATGCTCACATATTACATATTCTAAATGGGTCAATTAAAAGTATGTTAAATTACTCTTTCTGTTTCTTGTTGCCACTGGCTGGAATGAGGGTTGCAATCACTACTTTTAAAGAATGTGTGGAGCATAAGGGATGCAGTTATTTGCTGCAGAAGCCTGTATCAACTTTCTTTTCTATTCCACTTCTGCACTGGTAGCTGAAAAATGTCATCTAAGCCAACCAGGATATACTTGCTTTAACGTAAATTAAATCTTTATTATGGGAGAACTTGAGAGGTCGTAGCATTGATCCTTGAAATTGGCCTGACCTAGATCAAGAACCGTATAGATACTTCAGTGTCACCCAGGCAGACAGAGTATTGTTTAGATGTATGAGAATGGTGTATCAAACAAACTCAGAAGCAAAGCCTTTGAATACAGTTTTCGTCTGTCAGTATTTGAACAGACAGATGTGCATGTACCACTTGCAGAATTGTTTACCTGTGAGTTCCCAGATAGTTGGAGAGTACACTTAGCAATAGCCTTGTGCTCAAATTCCATCGTGGATTTGAACATGGAATAGTTTTAGTAGTTCCTGTTGTCAAAAAGTAGTTTGGTTCTTTTTCTTCCTCTTCTGAGTGTGCAGTTTCATGACTGAGGCTTTGCCTCTAAATGGAAGTCAGCAGAGGACCCAATTTTTGTGTCAGCCTCATACATCACTGTTTGCATTTTAAAAAAAAAATACTGAATGCTGTTACTGTACTGGAGATAATGGATAACTGGGAAAACGGCCAATCTGCTTATAATTTGGGGATGTGAAATAAGGAATCTCTATGAATATTTCAGTATTTACATTGCTGTAGAGTCAGCAGTAACTCTGAATTTGACAAAAGACTTCACAAAAATTCAGGGACTCTTAGTACCTGATAGTTGTTCAGCTATACCACTTTAGCTTCAGAGCTGTCCTATCAGGTAATTAAGAAAACAAATCCTTAAGCAAAAGAAAGCCTTTATTATATATTACAGTTTATCTTCCAAATTTCAGTGAGATACTGATGGCTGATACTTTTTTCAAAAAGTATTCTGAAGTTAAATTTAAGGCTCTTCTTAGCAAGTGTACTTTTGTTTCTCTTATGAGGTGGGAAAAACAGTCATACAGATTAAAATCTAACCCAGCATTTGTGTGCAGCCTGTATCCATCTCTTTGTTAGCCTGTCAAAGATTTTATTTTTGCCTCATAAATGATAAACAATCTGAGTACGATGGGTTGCCTATATTATTCCAAATAGTCATTTGAGGATGGCTTATGTTGAAACGCATTAAATGACAGAATGACAGAATCACAGAATGGACAGGGTTGGAAGGGACCTCAAGGATCGTGAATCTCCACATGCAGAGCCACCAACCTCCCCATTTAATGCTAGATCAGGCTGCCCAGGGCCCCATCCAATCTGGCCTTGAACACCTCCAGGGATGGGGCATCCACAACTTCTCTGGGCAGCTGTTCCAGCACTTCACCCTCACATCCAACCTAAATCTTCCCTCTCTCAACTTAAAACCATTTCCCCTTGTTCTGCAGTTACCAACCCTTTCAAAGAGTTGATTTCCCCTCCTCTCTGTAGGCTCCCTTTAGGTACTGAAAGGCTGTAGTGAGGTCACCCCGCAGCCTTCTTTTCTCCAGGCTGAACAAGCCCGGCTCCCTCAGCCTGTCTTCAGGGGAGCTGCTCCAGTCCCCTGGTCCTCTTTGTGGCTCTCCTCTGGACCCTCTTCAACAGCTCCCTGTCTTTTCTGTACTGCAGGCTCCACACTTGGACGCAGTGCTGCAGATAGGGCCTCACAAGAGCAGAGTAGAGGGGGACAATCACCTCTCTGTCCCTGCTGGCCACCGCTCTTCTGATAGAGCCCAACAAGGTTATAGTTAATTTCAATTGGAATTCATCTGAACTAGGGACATCCATTTATGCTTATAAATATAAGCTAGTAACTAGCAGCTAGTAGTTTAGGCTGTGTCTTTAATGTTTAAGAGAAATTAGGAATAAGTAGAAGGGCTTATCTTTTCTCCATTGACTGCAAGGAGAGCATGAAGAAGAGGGAGTGAAAACAAATTACTTGCTGCTACTATTACAAGTCCCCAGTAAGATGAACTGAATCTCATTTTAAGTACTTTTGATTTACTCAATGAAGTGAAATTATGGTAAGTTTAAATGTTGCTGCTGAACGTGCGTGTGGTTAGTGATATGGAAAATGAAATAGATGCTATGAACTAGTATTTGTGTAGGCAAACATTTTGCCTACATTTTAATATATGGATATGGTAAGTTCCCATTAAAGTAGAATATTTTCCATGACAATAAATATTGATCTAATAATACATATGGAATATTAATATAGCATGTGCACAGGGTATGTTCCAAACTTGTGTGCTGGAAGATGAATGTGAAAATCAATAACAAATTTTGTTCTAATTAAAGTGTAAAATATTTCTTCCAATAGCCACCACTTGAAGTCCACTTCAATAAGGAAATTAGCTGTAATCTATATTGCTCTTATGTTTTTCTGAGGAGTTGATATATTTGAGATTTTTTTAAAAAGGTAATTGGTATAAGATGTAACAACAGGATCATATTTTCTTTCTTGGTTAAAAAAAAATCATGTGGAAACCTGCCAATGGAGCTACATCTTTGTCTAATACACACTGAGAGCAAGGAAATAGTAGATAGACTTAAAAGAGGGATCTTCTTTGTTTTGAGGTAGCAAAGCAATCCTCATTTATCGGAGGTACGTTTAGTTTTGACTTGGATGTGATTTTTTTCATCATTCTTGCAAAATGTAACTTCTAGTAATTTACTATATTTTATTCTGTCTTGGAAGTGTTGCTTTATTTTATTGTTCAACTATGTGGTTACTGTGAGTTTAAGACAGAACAAGATAGTTAAATCAGACCTTTTGTTCTGTTATTATTGCTATAGAGCAAGACTTTCTGTTAATGGCAATTATGATTTTTTTACTAGCTTGCTTTTACTAGTTGCTTGAAATATGGGCTGTTGGGAAATAAAATTTGTAACGTAATGCTTGACTATTTTGTTTATGACTAACTTTACATCTGAAACTGTTTATGGATCTGTTATCTTTTGTGCAATATTCTGTACCATGTACATGCAGGGCAATTTTATTAAAAAGAGAGAAGCAAATAGCCCTCACTTTTTACATTAAAACAAATTGCTATGAAAGAGTAAAAAAGTTATTAAAAGCAATGTAGGTAGTCACGTAACTAAGATGTGTGTTTGAAGGGAAATCTCTTGCATCATATACATGCAAGAAACCTTAGTGATATTTTCTTTGCTGTTCTGTTCCATTTCTGTCTCTTCAGCATTATGTTAATTCTTCATATAGTGGTAAGTGAAACGCTGTGATTGCTGCTTAGTGAAAGTTGATTCTGTATGCTGGTATTTGACATGAAGTCTGCATAGCTGTCTTTTTGAGTAAACAGAAGTGGTAATGAGACCATGTAATTATTTTCCTTAAAGTTGTCCTGTTCCCACCAGGAGGACATCAATGCTGACTGTATTTCACAGCAGCGTTCCATTCAGTTATGAGACCGTGTCTTAAGGCATGAAGACTTTATGGAATGGTGTTGTAGACCAAGCTTGTTTCACATTGACTGACAGACAGACTGGAACATCTTCAAAAGCTGTTCAAAGTTATCTTGTAGATATCTGTGGTCCAACATTTTTCCATCTGGTGCCAACAAGAAATCTTCCAAGTTTGTGATAAGCTCTGCCAGAGTTATATGAGCTGCAGAATACGTGGTGTTTCCTTTCCTTTTTGTAAGCTGACCCTCACTTAGTATTTCCGACAGCTTTACTCACTCCAGAACAAATTGATTAAACTGTTAAAAAAAACCTAAGATTTAGGTTTCTTCTAGTGTCTGTAAGGATATAATCTGGACATTTTTAATGAAGCTCTCACAACTGTATCAAAGTAAACTTAACTGACTGTACGTTTGTGCATAGGCAGTTGTAGAAGCAACCATAATTACAATTCTCTAACCCTTTTGTCCTTGTAAAAGTTAGTGATTTACAGTCTCTTTTGATATTTTTCATTTTTTTCTTTCCATCTCTCTTGTGGATGAGTATGGCCTAGCTGATAAATCCCATGGTTGCTTTTCAT